CTACGAATTTGTAAGCTAATTTTAGTTAATTGTGCTTCTACTAAAGATGCATCTAATTAGGTCCTGAATTTTAGTTTTTTAGTTTAAATATTAAGGACATTTTAGAAAAATAGTTCTAAGAATTTGTAAGCTAATTTTAGTTAATTGTGCTTCTATTAAAGATGCATCTAATTAGGTCCTGGATTTTAGTTTTTTTAGTTTAAATATTAAGGACATTTCAGAAAAATAGTCCTACGAATTTGTAAACTAAGTTTAGTTAATTGTGCTTCTATTAAAGATGCATCTAATTAGGTCCTGAATTTTAGTTTTTTAGTTTAAATATTAAGGACATTTCAGAAAAATAGTCCTAAGAATTTGTAAGCTAAGTTTAGTTTACTGTTCTTCTATTAAAGATGCATCTACTTAGGTCCTGGATTTTAGTTTTTTAGTTTAAATATTAAGGACATTTCAGAAAAATAGTCCTAATGTTTACGTTCTATTTCCTTCTTTGTAGTGTGCTAATGGAAGGAGATCGTATTTTCGAGTTTGATGATTGGCGTAATTTGATGAGCTATTGACGAGCTATTCCAGTTATCTCGTGATGGCCCTTTTGGCCTATTTACCTATGATGGTGTGATAAGTAAGATATGTTACATTGGTACTCGGTTGAGTAAGGCGCCCGGTACCTGTCGCGACCCTCCGATTTGGGTCGTGACAAAAGTGGTATCAGAGTAGTTCTGTCATAGGAGTCTACAAGCCGTGTCTAGTAGAGTCTTATTTATGGGTGTGTTGTGCACCACACTTGTAAGCATGAGGCTACAGGGCATTTAGGACTGCCACTCTTTCTTTTTACCCTAGATCGTGTGTTAGAGCTCAGTTGTAAGAATTCAAACTCCTAAATTCTATTTTATTCGTAATACAACGACACCTATATCTAGAAAAATAGCTGGTAAGAGATTGATTGTGGCTGTAGAAGAGTTGATTTAGAAGAACTCGATTTTGCATCAAGCTTATGATGAGTAAATGTGAGGTCTTCAGTAGTAGATCACGTGTGTTCTAAGACGTGTAAGGTTCTTGATAAGGAGCCCTAAGGCATGAATATCTATCCACCCATATGGTTTATAGCAGCGAGAGAATCAGAAGGTAGATACGAGTTTCAACAAGTAAAAAAAGCAAGGTGAAGAAGGGTACGGGGTACCCAATTAGTGAAGATTATCAGTATTTATAATTCAGGCAGAGAAATATAACCATTTTGAGTTACCTTCAATTGTAATAGAGGTATGTATAATTGGCACACCTATCTCAATTATGCTCCATGGGAGTCAACAGATATAGTTTAAGAGAAGAATGAGATATCACGATCCAGCTGGGGTTAGAGTGATCCAAAATAGTGGATGGATTGTTAGCGTTAGCTGACATTTCCGAAGGATTTTATAATAGTCGGTATCGTGAGAATTTCAGAGATAGCGTTCCGGCGATAATAGAATGGACAACAAAAGAATAACCTTTAAAGTCTATTTAGGAAGATGCTTTCCTAAAGCAAGCAATATGAGCGGAGTTAAGCTTAAGGGACTAAGTGTGCCACTTACACTAGGTGTCACCCTCGTGAGTAAGAAATTTCATTATCCTTGATATAGAAGGATTACCGCAAGGCGAGTAAGAATCAATGAATATGTGAAAAGATGCCAAAGAAGAAGAGAGGGGGAAAGATGGTGTGATATGGTATTAAGTAGGAGTTATATAGTTCAGGGAACTATGGAATAGTAAAGGAAGAATGTGATAAAAATGAGAAAGGGATGAGATTGTACTTATTCAAATCCCACATATAGGTTACGACTCCAGAACATTACGCAAGCACGACGGCATGGAGGGGTAGTAAAGGTTCCCGACCAGGATGTTATTGATAAATAAGTACGAATGAATACTTGATACATAAGGAGCCAGTGCGAGAGGTAAGTTAAGACAAAGGACATATCCCAAGAGAGATTACGCGGAATATAGATATGAGAATGGACCAACGAGTAGTTTGTAATTGATTCAGGAAGAGCCTAGTTATGGCTAGACACGAGGGTACAGACAAACCAACAGATCGTGTAAGATAAACATAGTGAAACCCAATATGGTGAATTCAGTATCGCAGTTATGACATTTTAATCCTTGAGAAATATTCAGATAGGAGTTGAGGTAGTTACATGTACTGTATTGGTGTTACGGAAATAAAAGAGACTGCCACTGGAAAGACAATCAAAATATCAGTATATAGGCTTGCATAGAGTGATAGACTCGCTATAGTAGAGATTTGACGAGATAGTTGATTTAGCCGCGGAATAATTATGCTCCCCTTACGGATTTCTCCCGCGTTGTGCGTATTCATCAAAAAGCTTCCTTAAATTTCATAACTTACACGTTTATTTATAAGTGGTGTCAAGGACCCGTTAAAGTTTCTTATTCTAATGGGATTAGGCCGTTCGTCTCAGCAAGATTATTGTAACGCACTCTTATGAGATAGGCCATTCACCTCGGCAGTATCATATTCTTATGGGATCAGGCCGTTCGTTTCGGCAGTATAATATTCTTATGGAATCGGGCCGTTCGCCTCGACAGTATCATATTATTATGGGATCAGGCCGTTTGCCTCGGCAATATCATTTTCTTATGGGATCGAGCCGTTCGCCTCAGCAATGTCATATACTTATGGGATCGGGCCGTTCTCCTCGGCAGTATCATATTCTTATGGGATCAGGCTGTTCGCCTCTGTAGCATCATAATCTTATGGGATCGGGTCGTTCGCATCGGCATTTCTATAAATACCCTTATGGGATCGGACCGTTCGCCTCGACATCTTCATGAAATACTCTTATGGGATCGGGTCGTTCGCCTCGGCAGTATCGTGCGTAATATTTGACAAGAAGCTATTGTATCCGTTAGTTTTCCTAATTTGAGTTGTGACGACCTATCTGGTGGGGACCATTTTATATATATACTCCGGTTGAGGAGGTGACCGATAATTGAGAGCTTGAGTTTACTGTTTAAAGGAGGATTGTACCACATACCTATATTTGTTTATATTGTTTATTTACCCTGCCTCATATTTGTTTACTTCCTACCGTATTTGATTTATTAGACCACTAGTAAGTGTCGATGTCGACCCCTCGTCACTACTTCTCCGGGGTTAGGCTAGATACTTACTGAGTACGCGTTGATTTACGTACTCATGCTACACTTGTTGCACTTATTGTGCAGGTATATATATGTCCGATGGTCTTCGGGGCACGAAGGCGCGGTTATTGCGGGGACTTACGGTGAGCTGCATTCCATATTACGATCCGGATCATATAGAGCCTCCATCAAAGTTATTTACATTCTCCTGTCCAGCTTGTGTTCTGGACAGATGTTGTATTTTATTACATTTCCTAGTAGATACTCATGCACTTGTGACACCGGATTTTAGGGGTTCCTACTGATGTTCATTATTGTAGTTCACGTAATCATTATCATTTCACCTTGTAATTTATATCTTATACGGGAATTGGAAAATAAAATCCCGGCTGTTCTGTGAGTACCAGATTTCACTCTATTTATTTAAGGGAATTTATGATTTTAAAGATAATAAATAAGTAACTAAATTGGTTAATCACCGTTGGCTTGCCTGACGGTGGCGTTAGGCGCCATTACAATCTATAGTGATTTTTGGGTCGTGACACAAAATATATATATATATATATATATCACACATATAAATTATATTAATATATTAAAATATATATATTTATAGACTATTGAAGGACAACTACATTAGGTCATTTTTCAAGGATTTGCATGGTCCTCCTTATAAGCTTGGTTTCTTTTATACTGGGTCGACTAAATCATGATGTCAACTAAGTTGGGAAAGAAATAAAAAATAGTCAGATTTACAGCTGATAATTGAAAAATAGTCACAATTTTAAAAGTAATTAAAATTTAGGCACTTTTTCATGTAAAGATAAAATTTGGACAAAAACACCTTTAAAAATCCGAAAATATTCCAGCACAATATACTAGAGTTCAAATTTTTTACACATGCGATTCCAGCATAATATGCTGGAATTTCATAATGTGTTGGAGTTACGACGTAATATGCGAAAAGTTTATATGCATGAGCTCCATAGTCCAGCATATTATGCTGGAACTTTCAGTGTGCTGGAGTTCTAACATAATATGCTAGAAGTTTATACATAAGAGCTACATAATCCCGCATATTATGCTGCAACTTTTCGTATTTCAGCAAAATAGTTGCTGTTTTCACTAACTTTACAAACGCTGATTATTTTTCAATTAACAGTTCGAAAATTGGCTAGACCGTGCTATTTTTACAATCAAGTGGATGCGAGCACGTAATTTTTGCCTTAATGCCAAATTACTCCTAAAAATATTTCAAAATAGTTTTAATTGCTTTTATAGAATTTTAGAAAATTTTATCTAGTTTAGTTAATTTATTTTGCATTTGTATGTATGTTTAGAAGCACTTTAAATCACAAAAATGTAAAATATTTTATCTTTTCATGCTATTGCATTCTAGCATTTTAGTTTTGTTTTTAGGATTTTAGGATTTAACCATGTTTTAATTGCATTATTAAAATACATAAAAATCACAAAAAATACATTAATCATTTTACATTTTTAGTTCGAGTAATTAGTTAATTGGTTAATTCAAAAGTTCAATTAGTTCGATTGTGGATAAAATAGTGGGTGTAGGTTAATTCTGTAATTTAGTATTAAAGTTAGAATATTAACTCAAGTGGCTAGAGTTGAAAGGCAACCAAGGAAAAGGGAGGGGCCTGTTAAAGCTTTACAATCAGATTGGACCAACCTTTAGGGCCCCGTTTCAATACCAATACCCAGCCCAAATCCCCATCCTAATACCCGGTCCAGCTCCGCCCATGTGGCTACCCAAACGACGTAGTTTGACACCAAGACTACGTCGTTTCCTTAACTAAAACGACCAAACACCCCTTCTAATCTCATAATCGAAAGATCCCCCATATACAAAAACCCTAGCCGCCCCTAATTCCCCTATTCTCTCAGCACAGACCCTCACTCTCAAATGGAAATACACACACAGAATGCAGACAGATTCGCCCACCTTCCTCTCACACGCTCTTTCTCTTCTCACTTCTCTCTGATTTCATCGACACATACATTCAAAACAAGGACGAGAGATGAAAAACGGATTTGAAAACTAAAAAGGCACTCTGAGATCTGAAACAAGAGGCTCTCTGTTAATTTCTGGTTTTAAGGAGAATTCAGATTCGAATCGTTGTTCGATTCCGCTGATTTTTGCTGTTTCTGGAATTGCTGAGCTCCATTCGAGTTTGCTTCTGCCTTATTTGGTTTATTCTAGCTTTTTCTTTGTTTGACCAGGTTAGTTTGAAACTTCTCTGTCTTATGATTTTAGTAAATGATTAAACAATTGAGTTCCTGCTTAGCTTTGAAGATCTGCTCGATTCCTGATCTCTGTTATTCTCATGTGTAATGGATGATGTCTACTTGAATTAATTCGATCCCTGCTTTCAGCTAGGAATGCTTTGTTGGTTATCTAATCATGTTAAGTTTAATTATCTTTTTTAGTTGAGAATTGGTTGGTTCCTCGTTTAGCTTCGACTGATCTACCTAACTTATTCTCTTTTGTGATTCTAATAATTAGTGAAATTTCCATCGAAGCATGTTAATTTTTGAATTGAACTTGGTTATTAGTAGCAATCAGTGTTTTGTTTAGAGCTAGTATGGGAAAGTTATTTTAATCACTAATTAGCCCCAAAGCAATAAGTTCGCATGAACTGTTTTAGTATTGCAAAGTTTCAGAACTGAGCATTTGGTTAATTCCACTTCTAGCCTAATCTGTATTTTTCTATGAGAATCAGAATATGTATATTATTAAATCAATCAAGGTTATGGCATTTTTGATACTTCTTTAGTATTCCAATCTATATCTACCCACAATAAATTCCATAATTTCTGACCTTCACACTCAATCTCAAAACATAGAAAAAGTTGCTTTAGGCACGCTTCAATTAATAACTCGTCATGGTTATGGGTACAGTTCCCTTCCCGTGGCATAACTTTGACGCTTAACCCCAAAATTCGAGTGCACGCTTGTGTAACTTGACCCCAACTTCAAAGTAATAATAAAATAAACATGTTGTAAATCGCGGGTGCGTTTCACGTGGCGCGACTTGCAATGTGTATAAAACGACAAGTGTACGACATCTTAGCTTGTTTAAAAATAACTTCATACATACTAAAAACGATTTAATGAAAAGCGGTAAAAGGTAGAAATGCAATAGGTCTAAAGCATGTGATAATCGGATAATTAAGACAGGTGTAATATTAAAGCGACTGTGCTAAAACCACGGAATCCGGGAGTGCCTCACACCTTCTCCCGGATTAACAGAATTCCTTATCCGAGTCTTCTGTGTTTCGCAGACTTATACAGAGTCAAACATTCCTTGATTTGGGATTTAAAATAAATGGCGACTTGGGATGCCCTAAATAATTATTCCAAGTGGCGACTCTTAAAATAAAATAAATTAATCCCATTTCAATAATGTCACTTAAATTGGAAAAACTCCTTTCCCCGTAAGAAGGAGGTGTGGCAGTGGATGTTCTTGTAGAAATAGAGAATTTCAATGGCCTTTTCTGATACCACTCTTTAAATTATATTTTTGTTACTTCAACAAGCTCTATCAGAAATAGCATCTTTACCTTCATAAAGTAGGGGCAAGATTTACGTACATGCTATCCTTTCAGACCCCACTTGTAAGAATACACTGGGTATGCTGTTGTTAGTTCAATAAGCTAAAATTTGCCTTTAAAGTACTTGAATAAATTTCTTTTTTTACCAACAAACTAATTTAACTCACTAGACTAACACGAGATAAATATTGGGCCTGCTCTATTAATTCTAGAGCAAACGCGGGCCAGGTGGGAAAAACTTCATATTTGTCTCATAGAATTAATAGAGCATGCCCAATATTTGTCTCATGTTAGTCTAGTGAGTTAAATTAATTTGTTGGTAGAAGAAGAAATTTATTCAAGTACTTTAAAGGCAAATTTTAGGTTATTGAACTAACAATAACAACATACCCAGTGTATTCTTACAAGTGGGGTATGAAATGATAGCATGTACGTAAATCTTGCCCCTACTTTATGAAGATAAAGATGTTATTTCTGATAGAGCTTGCTGAAGTAACAAAAATATAACTTAAAGAGTGGTATCGGAAAAGGCCATTGAAATTCTCTATTTCTACAAGAACATTCACTTGGTTGTAAAAATAGCACGGGCTAGCCAATTTTCGGTCTGTTAATTGAAAAATAGCCAGCGTTTGTAAAGTCAGTGAAAAATAACCATTATTTTGCTGAAACACGAAAAGTTGCAGCATAATATGCGGGATTATGGAGCTCCTGCGTATAAACTTCTAGCATATTATGTTGGAACTCCAGCACACCGAAAGTTCCAGCATAATATGTTGGACTATGAAGTTCATGCATATAAACTTTCCGCATATTATGTCGGAACACCAGCATATTATGCTGGAAGCACATATGTAAATAATTTGAACTCCAACATATTGTGCTGGAATATTTTCGGATTTTTAAGGGTGTTTTTGTTCAGATTTTATCTTTACATGAAAAAATGCCTAAATTTTAATTACTTTTGAAATTGTGACTATTTTTCAATTATCAGCTGTAAATCTGACTATTTTTGATTTTTTTTCCAATTTGGTTGACAAATGTAAAAGAAACCAAGCTTATAAGGAGGACTGTGCAAATCCTTGAAAAAGCTGCCCAATGTAGCTGTCCTTCAATAGTCTATATTTTTATATAATTTATATGTGTGATATATTTATTTTGTACATAATTAATGTATATTTAACTATCGGCTGTATCCAGCCAAATATGCTAAAAGCCCCAAGTCCTTTCGGACCAATATCGGTCCAAACAATTCACGTCTATAGTAGGCGAGTCTTGAAATAAACCAAATTGAACTTTCCTTCAGCCCTCCACTACCTGGCGCCGCTTTTGCTTCTCCATCTCCTCCGGCGCCGAATTCCTCATTTTTCTCCTTCTCCGGCGGAATCTAAGTGTATGCTACTCTTTCTCTCTCACTCTCTCTACATATTATCGTTTGTCTGTCCGTCTCTACTACATAACGGCCATCTTTATTTTTTCGGCCGCTATTTTACTGAAAAAAATGATTTTTTGGTGAATTGGACTATAATATTCTGTGTGCTCCCAGGATTTAAAGAAGCTTAACTCCAATATCTTAGTTTCTCGTGGGTTTTTACTAGTTAATACATTGGCTGGAATTTGTGACTGCACTAATTGGACTTTCGTTAAAATCAATTTTCTGTAAAAGCCTTTTATTTGTGTAACCATCAAATTGCTGATTCGTTGATTGAATAGAACTGTTTTGTATACTGGTTCCAGATGGGTATTATTGCTGGTTTGTATTGAGAAAGACTGGTGCTTTCTTGCTTGAATTGACAAAGGGCTCAATGGTTTTTGCATCTATGCGGATAAGTTAAAATTTGAAAAGCTTAACCTGCTTTTAAGACTCAAAAATCAATCTATGGTGTAGCATTCTCTTGAAGTCACTGGTAATGGACATCTTTATGATAATAAAATTTCCATAAAGATTAAAGTAATAGCTGTGAACTTATACCACTGTATAGTTCTGTAATTCGTGATATGGTTTTCAGTATGTGCTGTTGTCTTGTTGATATATATCTTTTTTTTTTTAACAGACTTGAGTATTTTTAGCTGTATCTTTTCTTGAATAAGCATTTTGATGAGTGATTCAAGGGTCTATGGCTGGTTACTATAGAACCTTTTTTTTTTCTTGCTGATAAGGTCTTTTCCGCATGATGATGTTTCAGAGGAAATTTCGGCAATATTCAACATTATCAAACATAATGGGGATGGTATTGCCAGCTGAGCAGGCAGGCTATGCTGAGATGGAGAATGTTGAGATTACGGATACAGAGTTGTTCTATCATGTTAGAGGTGCCCTTAAATCTGCTCTCCAGGTTGGTCTCTCAAAAAACATATTTTGAATAAAAATAAAATTATACACTGATAATTTCTTTGGGTTGGGTTTGGATGCCCATGCCACTGCATGGGAAAATTAAGTTTGAACTGTATGAATCAACAGATTGAATTTGTTTCGCCGTAACCCTTTGTTTCTCATTATTTATTTTGGCTAAGTTACTCATCAAAAAATAAGAGGAAAAGTATCTTTCCTGCTAAGATGACTGTTTCAAATGTTTGCTTGAATACATGCATAGGTGCTCCAGATTGATTGACTGTGGTTGTCTTCCTTGGAGATTAAGAGCTGAAAGTGTGATTAGATACTTTTTTTTGGGAGTTTGGGCACGGTGTTATTATAATAGTGGAACTGTAGAAGATGTGACTAAAACTAAGAAATTGTCACCTCAGATAGGGGCGTGCCCATAATCTACTGAGTATGAACTGTGCTCCAAGCTGGTCCTCGAGGATTTTTCGGTTAGAAAAAGATTGATGAGGTGAGGTGCATAAGCCTTGCATGAATTTGACTTTAGATAGAAAATAGAGGGAAATTGGTAGGGCTTTTGTGAAGGTGATGTATATCGAATTGAGAAGAAAGAGGGCTCAGGTACAAGTATTATGCATCTGACGTGGTATTTTAACTGTTAAGTTCTGAATGGACGTAGAATTGGTTAGTTAGACATGTTCTCTTCTGTNTGAGTGGGACGTTACTTCTCTCATTTATATTCAGCAAGCACTTGCCGGCGAAATGTTTTCATTTATTCCCTGCGCTTAAATTACTGATTGTTTTTAGTCTGTTTCACTTTATTTACTTTCCTGGCACACTTACAACAACAACAACATACCCAGTATTATCGCACACCGTGGGGTCTGGGGAGGGTAGTGTGTACGCATACCTTACCCCTACCTTGTGGGGATAGAGAGGCTGTTTCCAATAGACCCTCGGCTCAGGAAAGCATAAGCACCACATTAATGAAAATATAGACAAAGAGGGACAGTACCAAAAAGCCATATAAAAACAGAATAAAAACAACAAGACAGTAATGTGATCAACAATGAAAGAAACAACGGTTAGTCATAAAAACCTACTACCAACAGAAAGCAAGACTGAGTGCCAATACTACTTTCCTGGCACACTTATCTCTTTTATATTCAGCAAGCACTTGCCAGCCAAACGTTTTCACTTATTCCTTATGCTTAAATTACTGATTTATTTTTGTCTGTTTCACTTTATTTTTTTTCCTGGCAAACATCTTCACAGATGTGAATTGTCTGTACCTTCCTAGTTGCTATTTTCACTGGTGCATCTTGTGCAGTTTTTATGAATTGCGCTTCTTTATGGTTTCCATATATTTGTTATAGCACTGCAGAGTGAATTTTATAGCTGAATGTTGCGTGTATTAGGGTGATCCGGACAAATATAACCAGCTTGTTGGGGTTATGCACTGTAAGGAACGCCTTGTACCCGAGGAGGTTGCCCTACTGGTGGTATGTTTCCTTGGAGATTGCACATGCAATCACTTTTTGTGGTGGTTTCTTTTGCTTCATGTTTTAATTTTCATTTCATTTGGTCTTCGCATTTCAGACATGTTTAAAAGCTTTGTCAGGATCAGTTTCTTGTCTAGACATTGTTCATCATCAAAGTCTTCTTTCATCTGTAAGTTCTAAATAGCTGTATTAACAGTCTGCATCTTTTAGATAAGAATAGAGGTTAATAAGTTTGTATACTTAAATGTCTTATTCGCCTCCAGATTTTAGGAATGAGCATGTGGAGCTATGGGACTGATGTAATGGATGCTTTGATGGAATTACTTATATCCTTGGTATGTGGCTTTAGTGCTGCAATCTTACATATTTGTGTCTAATTGTGTCTATGATCATGAGTCTTCTCCTATGCTGTAGGCTACATCCGGTGGGCAGTATGTCGATTTGTGCTTGGAAATGCTTGTGAACAATTTTGTGCCGCCTCCTTCATTCATATCATTGTTGAATCAGCCACGTGGCATTCTACGAAAGGGCCAAGTCATTGATCGTATCCATTCAACTTTAATAGCCATTGCAGAGTTAGTTCCTCTCACCCCCTTGAGACTTGAGAAGATAGTAAAGGAGAAGATGCAGAAGATGCCAATCAATTACACAAAGGAACCAGTAAGTGCAGATTCATGCTTTCTTTACAAAGAAGATTCTAACACTATGCAGCTTATTAAATGTTCTGGTTCTAGTGACATTGTTTTTGAATTAGTGAACCTTGCATCACCAGAACCTTGTGTTGATAATCTATTTCTTCTGTGTTGTGCTCCTTATTGCTGGAAGCTCCTAAATTCTTATCCATGTTTTTTTTCTTTGCCTGAAGTTCATCATGGCATATGTGGAGAACATGTTAAAACTGGAGGGTGGAGCAATTGGTGGTCTTGTTGGGAGAACTATGCTTGTGGCAATTATGGATTGGCTGATAGATTTGGATGTAAGTTGTTTGAAATTGAAGCTTCGCTCTGTCACTGTGTAGAAGTTGTTGCATTAACTTAACTTTCTCCTTGTCCTTGAGTTTCTTAGGTAGACATTGCATGGGATGAAATCTTAAATGAGGATTTCACCAAATGCATCTTCGATATGGAGCTGGAAGATCTGGATGGTCCAGTAGATGATGGTCAGCAAGATGTTGACCAGGTGATTTTCATCTTTTTACTGATATTCTTCTGTATGTTAGTGTTGCCAACTTGCCATTGCCACTAGTGTTGTTTCTTTGACTCTTTCTTTTCCTGGGATAGTGTGGTTGATGGTGATATACGTTGTCATTTCTTTTGGAGCCGAGAATAAGAAAATCACGTATCTGTGTAAAAATATTAATGTTGCAGTTATTCGGTTCACTTTGACTTGTCTCTAGCCGGAAAAGCTTTTATGAGGGTAGTATGGAAGGAATGGAAGGAAAGAAATAGGAGATCGTTACAGGTGGGTGACACTTGAGAGTGATTTTGTACATGTCCAGAGTAGTCTTGTGCCTCTAGTTTATTTTTGGTGCACACATGATTCCTGTTTGTATAGATGATTGGGTGAATTTTGTACAGAACCATGTTTAGCCTAGCTTTCTCTACTTTTTGGTATACTATGTGTATATGGGGATTTCCCAATATTTATAGAATCATATACCCTATATTAAAAAATGGTCTTCATCTTGAAGAATCCAAGTAGTTAAAGAATACCTGATGATTCAGAAGAGGATTTCATAACATTTCTCTTTAAATCCGAGTCAACCTTGAGAAAAATTTGCCTTGTCAATATTGTGTGAACTCTGACCAGCATTTAAGTGGTCAAGAGTACTATTTTCTTCCGAATTATTTTCCTTAATAAAGGTCATATTTCCCACAGTTCTATTTTCACCCTTCCCATATTCGTCTACCGACATTTCCTTTTTCATTGTGTTGATCTTCTGATCAAAAGATTGTATACAATTGGATTAGGGTCCAGTATATTCAAAATTGTCATCAATTAGAGAAAATTACAATACCGTATTACCGTCTATGGCAAGATTTTTAATTTTTGTTCTTGTAAATGGTTATTTTTTCCTGTGGTGTGCGGTTGTATCCCTTTCTCCACTTTTTGATTAAGCTAGTATTTGATTTTATCTTGTATAAATACAATAAACTAGGCATATCGAAAGTACTTATTATAAGGAAAATACAAAGAAAATAAGTAGCTTTCAGCTGATGATCGATCAAATTCTGTTAAAAATTTTCATCTCTCTTTGATTCTTTTATAAGTAAAATTATTAGAGCGTTCACCAGAGGCTCGATCTGCTGACCACAAGGTTAAGAGCATTGCACTCTACTGACTGAGCTCATCCATCTTTTTGATTTGGTTTTTGCCATCGTTCTTTATATACTAACTAGCCTTTTACTCTCAGCTCCGAATTTCTTGGATGGAACGGCTTGGAAATGCCAGTGCTCAAAAATTGGATAGCTTGATGGTGCTTACCTTTGAACACCTTAACTTTTGCAAAGAGAGTGGACGCCTGAGTCAGGTAAATTGGACGCATCAGTGTCTAGTTTCTAACTCTACTTGCTTTTCTTACATGTAGTTGTCTTTCATATCGTGTAGGTTTTTGAGACTCTTCTCCAGTCTTTTCAGCATACTGTTTTGACGGCATACAAGTCTAAATTTGCCCAGGTAACATGCGTAATATCATCTCTGACACTTGGGCTAGTCTTTGAAAATTAAACTTAAACTTCTTGCTGATGTTGCAGTTTGTGATGTTTTATGCCTGTACCCTGGATCCTGAAAACTGCGGCAGGAGATTTGCTGATACACTATTTGATATATTTAAGAGCAGTATCTATCCACAATGGAGGTGAGGATTATAGAGTTTTGAATCTTTGGCTTCTTTTTCTTGCTTTTCCCGCCTGTTGCACCCTGGCACCGTATTGTTGATCAATTAGCTTAATCATATCTTATGGATACACAAGCAACTGCTTGCTCAGTTTGCTATTCAATCTGAGTGCTTAGAGGATTGCTCTTTATGTAAATGGGTCAATGAGTTTAGGATTCTTTCATCTTTGAACGTAATTATGGAAGCTAATGAACAGTCTGTGCTCCCTGTTTAATGTTTATAGATATATTTATTGTAATTTTGAATTCAACTGTCCCCTTTTTTTTGAATTTTGTTGGGACACTGTTTGGGGTCTCAACATTGGTCCCTCTATGATCCTGTCACTGAATTTACATGCACTCAGAGTAGTATTCCGTACTAAGACTAGCCGACTTTCTGCATATGCTGTTTAGATAACGTGCCATAAAAAATAGTGGTCCTTAAAAGTCATAGATTACTGTGCTTAAGTATCTTTTCAGTTTTGTTGGATAAGACAAATAGAAGTACTGAAGTAGTCATTGTCATTTCCTTGTCAGAAGGTAGTGAAGTGCTTCTCGGTGATCTTGTTTTTTCAATTTCAAATGCTACTGAACAGATTTGATACTCTCTGGGAGTGGATAAATTTGATAGCTCTTTGCTTGCTAGTTATACATTTTCTCATGGTTGTTGGGAGGTAGTAATGCTTTTATTGGTTTTTTGCAGAATGAGTGCGGTTGCCTATCTTGCTAGTTATTTGGCTCGTGCAAAGTTTTTGTCTATCTCATCTGTTGCTGAATATGTAGAAAGGTTTACTCGATGAACCTAACCATCTTCCTTTGCACACAATACTTTATAGTTTTAAGTTGCTCCCCTTGGTCAGTAATAAATTGAGGTACATCCCAAGTCATGGATTTCTTTCTTTTTGTGCGAGGATCAGTTTGGTTGAATGGTGTTCCACTTATTGCTCCAACCAGAGTGGTGGCATCAATCCAAAAGCTCACAAGGAATTCTATGCTGGGTGCCAGGTATTTGACAGATTTGACAGTTTGATGTAGTCAAAACCTTTAATGGTCTGCCCCACTCCCTCACACAGACAGACCCTTGTTCATTTTTGTGAAGTTATTTGTGGTGGTTTCTATTTTTAAGTGAAAGAATGACTATTATACTATTGTACTGTCAATCTTGAGACCAAGAGAATAGATCAGTGTCAATTCTGTAATCAGCCAATGATTCTCTTCAAGTACTCTTGGTATTGGTTGTTATATTGCTTCAGGAGTGCAGGGCTTTTTTCTGTTGTTAGTGTGGAATTAAGTAAAGGCTTTCCGAATTATATCCCTGGGGCTAATTTTATTTATATACCATGTGAGTGCTGGGAAGGGGAAAGGAAAGTGTTGGAAAGTTAACTTCCATATTCTTTTGTGCATTGTGGGAAACTTTGAGAGAAGTGGTTAACGACTTTTTCTTTAAAAAGACTTCTTCCAACTTTAATTTTGCAAAACATGTAGGAAACTTGAAGGAAATTTTAACTTTACTTTGGCACAAAATTTTCAGGAATTTCGTTAACATCCAAACAAATTGTTACTGATTCTGTTCATTGTAATGCAGGCCATGATGTACATACTTTGTTTTCGCATGAGATCAATGCTTGCTANAAAATTTTCAGAAACTTCGTTGACATCCAAACAAATTGTTACTGATTCTGTTCATTGTAATGCAGGCCATGATGTACATACTTTGTTTTCGCATGAGATCAATGCTTGCTATTCCTCGTATCAGGTCACGGCTCTCAAAGCACATAGAGGATATCCTGAGGCATCCATTGAGGCCGTTAATGGTAATGCATTCACACACACACACACACACACACTCTATGGATTTCTTTTGTTTTGTATTTTATTTTATTTTTATTAGTTCGCGCGGATAGAATATATGTGCTGTAAGCTTAGAGAACATAAGAAAAATAAATTTGAGTGAGATTAGGTGATTCTATGGAATTACAGTGGTTTTAGATTTAGAGGTTAGACCGACCATGTTGCATGGGGCAGAGTGGTGGCTGGTCAAGAATTCTCATGTCCAGAAGATGAGAGTAGCTGAAACGAGGATGTTGAGATGGATGTATGGACATACTAGGTTAGATAAGATTAGGAATGAAATTATTCGGGATAAGGTGGGAGTGGTCCCCCGGGAGGATAAGATGTGGGAGACGAGGTTGAGATGGTTCAGACATGTTAAGAGGAGAAGCACACAAGCCCCAGTTAGGAGGTGTGAGAGGTTAACCTTGGTGGGTATGAGTAGAGGTAGGCCAAAGAAGTCTTGGTTATAGGTGATATAGAGGTAGGCCTAAGAAGTCTTGAATATAGGTGATTAGGCGTGATATGGCGCAGCTGGAGCTTACTGAGGACACGACCCTTGATAGGAGGGTGTAGAGGTTGAGGATTAGGATAGAAGGTTAGTAGATAGTCGTACGTTTCCCTTTGTCTTCCTTAGTTCGATAGTGTTAGTATTAGTTTGTTATCCCTTTATTCTTAGATTGGTATTACTACCATTTAATCGCTACCTTGGCTTTGGTCCTTTTTTATCTTCTTGTTGTTAATACTTGTTGCAATTACTTCTTTTATTTTTTCTTTAGCCGAGGATCTTTCAGAAATAACCTTTCCGCCCTCCAGGGGCTCCGTACATCTCACCCTCCCCGGACTTCACCCCCACTTCGGGGAATTCACTGGGTTTTTTGTTGTTGTTGTTGTTAGATACAGAGGTTCCGTCGTTCGGAAAATGGCTAGATGCAGATACAAAACAAAATTAAAATAGAGGATTGGTTTTTGTTGTGGGGGGGGGGGGGGGGGGGATAGAAGTGATGCGGTGTGATGCAATGCAATAGGAGGATGTTTGTAAAAGTGAAACAAATTCTACAGAATTGTTGTAAAACCAGCAAGTTTCAGGGAACTGAAATGTTGGGCTGAACATATCAATGGGATGCGTTGCAGACATTAAGATGGATGTGCAGCCAACATAATTAGGCAAGACTAGGAATGATCACCATTAACAAAAGCAAAGATTGACCGAGATGATATGATAATGTCTTCCACCTCCAAATACACTCATTCGTGTGTGATATTGTGATGATTAAAGGTGTTAACTAAAGTCACATGAAGCAAACTTTCAAAAACTTAAAATTTCTTGGGATTCATGCGGATTACCGAAGAACAGAACATAGTGGAAGCAAACTATTCAGATTGATATTGAGGTCTATTCATTGTTGGTTTCATATTGCATAGTCCGGTATTTGTAAGTATTCTTTTGGGTTCGGTTAGATATTTGGTAGCCGATCCCAACTAGTTTGTGATTGTACTATTGTATAAGTTCATTCTGTATTTTCTTTGATATTAGTGCTCTCTAACGTAGCCAATAGTTGTATATCTTTCTCTGTTAGTGGATTCTCTACCAGGCTCCAATAATTCTTTTTTAACAGGTATGCTTGCCATCAGTGGTGAAAGAATTTCTTCGGTTGGCAAAAGTAACTAATCTTGATGTGCCTGATAACTTTGTATCAAGTGGTCTGCTCGAGTCCGATCTTTCAATCTCTTTTGGTGGTAGAGAGAGGCTTGACACATTTTTCCCATTTGATCCTTGTCTGCTATTGAGATCTGACAGGTTTGTTTCTACATTGGACTATTGATTTCTCAAGTGCATTAATTGGGTTGATCTTGATTGGATATTCAAGTACCTTCGGAGATAATATTTGTTCTGCTATTTGTATTAATTAGTATGTTCTTATGTCTCATCTCTTATTATATGTTTTGGAAGATTCATCCGGCCAAATTTTGTGTACTGGTCAATGGTTCGGAGCTCATATGACAACGATGAGGATGATGATGAGGGTACTAGTGATGAAGACGATATTGAAATCTGTACTGCAGGGAAGGGGATGAATATAGCTGGAGTCGCCCGAAGTTATGATCAGGATCTCGATGAATTTGATAATGAAATGAGCAAAATGTCCATAACACCTAAAGTTGCTCAATGGTTTGGAGGTGAATTACGACCTGACATGCAGATGCCTTCAAGAATCAGACCATGTCCGGAGTCCTTGTAGAGATTAATCTGCCTGTTTGATTGTCATGAAAGAGGAAATGCTTGCCCTTGCATGACAAGAGTCGGACCATGCCATTAAGAGTTGGAAATGCTTGTCCTCGACCGTGGTTGGTATTTTGTTGGACTCGGGATTTGTCAGGCCTCCACTCCTGCCTGCTTCACATTCCATGAAATGTTAAGAGGTCAGTTTTTTGTATTTATAGCAAAAGCTATTTGTAATATGTCAATATGTAGCAATAGTTGTTCCGATTATCAGAACTAATGGTGAAAATAGATAAAATTCTCTTGTATTTTCTTGTGGGTGTTAATACATTACGCCCAATATAAAGAGTGTCTATATTTGGAAATGTAATGCTCCAGACGAAGAGTGCAAAACAACTATATTTTCTCTAATCTCGCTTTATTAGTATAAATGTTATTTAATTTTCCACCCTTATAATTTAGTGCTTATACCATACGGAAACTTTACACCCACTCGAGCAAAGTTGCAATATATGTAAGACACCATATTTTCTATAATCACACACTTGATTAAATCACCATTAAAATTTATAGCTGATATTGGGAGTACACAGACTCGCAAAGTAGCATTATACGTATGATAGTTTTCTCCATAGAAAATGATAGCATTATGTAACTTTTTTAATGGCAACAAACCACATGCCTCTTTTAGACGTTTTCAGATAGTAGGCTGGGACGGAAAAATCTTTATCATGATTACACTATAATAATGAAATACTCCTAAATAAACAGACTGCACAGCTTTCTAAGGGTTGAGGGCAGGGCATATCAACACGAATTCTGGAAGCATAAGAACAGAAGCACTCCTATTTATAAGGTTCTCTCATCTCCAGGTGGACTATTATTTGAAGTTTCAACAACCTGATTATGAGTGCTAACAGGATGATGTTAATGTTGCCCCTGGCTTTAGCTACCTCTGACCTTCCGTGCTGAAGCCAGTGGCAGAGCCAGCTTATAGGAATGGGTATCAAATGACACCCATTCACGGGAAAAATACCCTGTGTAACTAGGTAAAAAAAATAAATTATATGTATATATACTATGTATTGACTCCCTTTAATTTTTGGTATGTTTACTTTTATATATTTTGACACCCATTAACGAAAATTCTGGCTGAAGCTACCAACAATAAATTGAGTTGAAAATTGAGTTGCATTGTGCAGATGATGGCCGGGGCTGATCATAAACAACTTGACGACAACAATAAATAGCTTCCATCCGAAATTAAAATAAGAAATTGATAAACTCCAGACAGAAAAAATGCTTTTGGAGGGAACTTCCAAATTTTCCATTGAACAAACTTACTTCTCAATTCTCTTATTTCCCTCAAGAAAAGAAAATAGAAGAACATTCACAACCAAATTAGAAGAACTTCCAGCTGCGCAGCAGATAGAAATTATATCAGCACGTAATGTTCCATAACCGTACAACATATAACATAGTAATAAAACATGCATGAGCTATTCTGAAGGTGAAGCTAATTAAGGGCAGAAGAGCAAGGAAAGCTGGAATAATAAATGACTTTGTGACTTGTTACATACAGCACAAACATCTAAAGCAATAAAAAAATCAATAAATTTCAAGATGATAAAGGAGTAAACAAAAGGGAGGAATTTGTTTATAAACTACTCTTTAAAAATAAAGCGTCGTCAAAGAGCCCAGTTTAAACTTTCAACGCGTTGATGAGACAAGGCATTAAAAAACCCTATACCACAACAATATCCCATACTGGGGCGGCCGGGCGAGTTATATGACCTAAAGCCAAACTTTATGAGGGGCCTTAATTTTTTATTAAAAAAAATATTTATTTATTTGAAGTCTATTTTTCTAGCGTTTCTTAGATACAAAGTTATTAATAGTTTTTTTTTTATAATCAATAACTCCTAATAAGTCTTTCTTAATTGACAATATAGCTAATCCATTGAACCTTTCTTGAGACATTGTTAATCTTAGGTAAGATTTTATCAATTTAATTTTGAAAATTTATTTTCGCTAAAGCGGCGGTAACAAGAGTTATTAATATTATTCCATAAGTAATATATGCATTGGAAAAAGAATCAAATCTTTTTAGTTGGCCGAGTGTATCAATTAAACTGTTATCTTCTAATTGTATCATTTTTCTTAATATTTTTAATTTCGAAAATAAATCTAAACCATCAATATCGAATTGATTATTATGCGTTAGTGATCTTAATTTTTACCGCTAAATAGAAAACTAAAAATATTTTCATATGCTTCGAATTATTCAAATCTATTTTGAAGTAAAAAAAATATCCTTGTCTACTATGTATAAAGTAATCAATTTCAAAGGACTCTTCGAAATATTTTGAGATTTTATTATCAACATTCTCATCAAATTGTTACTTTCTATATATCATACGTTTCTTACGAAATTCGGGTTCGATATTCATTTCAAGTGCAGTTTTCGTGGCAGAAATCATAGCAGCTGCAAATCCTTCTTCTCTATACTTGTTAAAGAAAGAAATCAAACTTTTTCACTTCACAAAACCTTTTTTAAACTTATACATAACCTATTAGATATAATAAAAAATGGACCTCCCACAAATGTGGGGCCTAAAGCAATTGCTTTACTTGCTTTATGGAAGGGTTTTCCGATCAAAGTAGTGAATAAGACCCCACTGGTCTCCAGAATACCCGCTGTCTAAAGCATCCGTTGACACATATCCAGAAAATCCTGAGCATCCTCTGACTCAGTACCGTTAAATGGTGGAGGTCGAAGCCTCTCAAATCTCTCAAGTCTCCTCTGCTCATCATCTGCCATAACAGGAATTACCGGGGCCTGAGCAGCTGCAACCGGCTAGGCTGGTAGTGCCCCCGGTATCTGAAGTCCCTGTACTACCTGGTCTGGAGTACGGGCAACGGGGGTATGAGTACCTCCCCCAGCCTAAGAAGTGGCAGGTGCGGCCTGGGCCGAAACCACCTGAGCAAGACCAGTGCAGGCTACCAATATCTAGGCCAAAGTCTCCTGAATGCCTGTAATCTCAATGGGCACAGCTGGTGCCTGAGCTGATTCTGTCGGATCAACTATATCTGGAATCTGCTCATGTGCTGGAACAACTGGTGGTACTACAGGTGCTATTCCAACTGGGGTACGAGCTACACCTCGACCTCTACCTCGGTCCCGGCCTCTACCACGGCCCCGACCTCTCGCGGCCCTAACTGGTGGCACTGGTGGCTGATCGTCTGATCCGGTAGTACGTGTCCTCACCATTTGTGAGAGAATAGAATAACAGAAATTTAGTTTCCAGAATCAACAAATTCGCACGATAAAATACAAGCAAGTGAAATTTTCCTAAGGTTCTGCAGCCTCCGTACAGACGTCTCCGTACGATAAGTACAGACGTCTCCGTACCGATCCGCAAGACTCTACTACACCTGCTCATGACTCATGAGACCTAAGTAACCTGGCTCTGATACCAACTTCTCACGACCCAAAATCTCACCCGTCGTGATGGCGCCTATCTCAATACTAGGCAAGTCAAAAATCTCAACAAACCACAATTTCTCTCAAGATTGAAAATATAATATTTAAATACAATACAAACACTTCCCAAAACCTGGTGTCACTAAGTACATGAGCATCTAATATGAATACAAGTCTAGAAAATACTCATACTATAATAGTCTGAGACCAAATACGGTAAACAAAGAGATAGAGAAGGAGAGACAAGGTCTGCGGAACACGACAGCTACCTCAAAATCTCCTGAAATCAACACCCGTTATGTCCGAGAATACCTGGATCTGCACACGAAGTGCAGGGTGTAGTATGAGTACAACCAACTCAGCAAGTAACAATAATAAATAAGGAACTGAAAATAGTAACAAGCTACACGATTATGGTTCATTTCCAGTAATCCCAACAAATAATAGACATGCTATCAAATCTGGCAGTTTAATGTCAAATCAATTAATTTTTATACAGTTCATGTTCATGTAATCCGTATATCAACAATCTTTCAGAAATTTCGCAACAATGACAGATAGCAACTAAGTGCAACAACAAATGAAAATCAAGTACAACCTCTCAGGACAACAATCACTCACTGGGCTCCCAGCCCTCGTCACTCCTTGAGCTCCCAGCCCTCATCACTCACTTAATGGGTACCCGCGCTCACTGGGGGTGTACAGACTCCGAAGGGGCTCCTACAGCCCAAGCGCTATAATCTGCACGGATAACTCATGTGCCATAATATAAATATTTGGATCCGCACGGCCAACTCACGTGCTATAGTATAATATAAGGATCCGCATGGCCAACTCACGTGCTATAGTATAATATAAGGATCTGCACGGCCAACTCACGTGCTATAGCATCAATATCTCACAATCAGGCCCTCGGCCTCACTCAGTCATAAATCTCTCTAGTCTCTCGGGCTCTCAATAATCATGAAATCAGCCCAAACAATAATGATATGATGTATCAATAATAATAACAGAGACTGAGATAAAATGTGCAAGTAAAAACTGATATTGAGTACATATAGCATTTAGCAGGCAATTCAATAAGTACGCGTCCTCTATGGCATGTGGGTCCCAACAGTATTATCACATAGCCTAAGCATGATTTCTAACATGATTTACAGTCAAATTTTATCAACACATAGAGAGCATATAGCTAACAACAAATTATTCAACTTTATAATTTTACGGGACGGACCAAGTCACAATCCCCTAATTGCACGCCCACACACCTGTCACCTAGCATGTGCGTCACCTCCAAAATAATCACTTGATACCAAAATTTGGGGTTTAATACCCTCAGGACCAGATTTAAAACTGTTACTTACTTCAAGCCGTGAAATTCTTATTCCACAATTTCCTTTCCTCGTGAATTGGTCTCCAAACACCTCAAATCTAGTCATAAATAATTTATTTCAGTCAATAAAATTCATTGGAATTAATTCCATAAGAAAATAATGATTTTCCATAAAAATCCGAAAATTAGCTCAAAAATCGCCCGTGGGGACCACGTCTCGGAACTCGATAAAAGTTACAAAATCCGGAAGCCCATTCAACCACGAGTCTAACCATGTCAATTTTACCAAAATTCTACCCCAATTCGACCCTCAAATCTTCAATTTAAACCAAGAGGATTTTCAAATTTTTCCAACTCAATTCACCAATTAAATGATAAAAACAGCCATGGATTCGGGTAATTTAACCAATATTGAGTTAAGAACACTTACTTCGTTGTTTTCTCTAAAAATCACCAAAAATTGCCTTAAATCCGAACTCCAAATCGTCAAAAATTAAAAATGGGACCACTGCCCAGACATTTGCTCTACGCGATCGCGAACATCCCAACGCGATCGCGAAGAACAATTTCCATCGCCCAGATTTTACTCTACGC